CGTATGAGGGAGAGGTGCTACCTTTACTGTGGTCAACCTGGACATTTCCAAGTCTCCTGCCCTGAGCTTCTGGGAAAAGCTCTGTCCTGTGCAGACAGGGGAGATCTGTGACAGGAGTTACCCAACATTCTCCCCTGACTGACACTGGTTTACTTCTTCCTGTCACACTTTCCTGGGGCAATGTAAGACATTCTCTGAAGGCATGGGTGGATTCTGGCGCAGCTGGAAATTTTATGGACATTTCCTTAGCCAAGAAGCTAAATCTTCCCTTTGAACCCCTCCGTTCTCCCCTGGTTGTTACTGCCCTGGATGCCATGGGGAGATCACTCATCAAACATCCTCTCTGTGCATCTCCATTCAGCAACATCAAGAGGAGATGTCTTTCCAACTAATCCAGTCACCAGCTTTTCCAGTGGTTCTAGGCCACCCCTGGCTTTTTCGGCACAACCTGCACATCGACTGGTCCACTAGTTCTATTCTTGATTGGGGACCTACCTGTCATGCCACTTGTATCTTCTCGAGTGCCCCCCATGTATCATTCTTTTCAGGAAGTTTTCAGCAAGCGTAGAGCCACCACACTACCTCCGCATCGCCCCTATGATTGTGCCATAGATCTGCTCCCGGGCACCATTCCCCCCAGAGACCGTATCTTCTCACTATCCCCTCCTGAGCGGGAGGCCATGGACAACTACATTAAGGAAGCCCTTGCTGCAGGTTCATACGAGCCTCCACCTCTCCGGCTGGAGCGGGGTTCTTCTTTGTGGGCAAGAAAGATGGGGGTCTTCACCCTTGCATTGATTATAGAGGCCTCAATAAGATCACTATTCGAAACCGCTACCCTCTATCCCTCATGTCCTCGGCCTTCGAGTTGCTCCAAGGGGCCTCAGTCTTCACCAAACTTGACCTGTGCAATGCATACCATCTGGTGCGCATAAGGCAAGGAGATGAATGGAAGACCGCTTTCAACACCCCATCAGGACATTATGAGTATCAAGTCATGCCCTTTGGCCTCACTAACGCATCAGTGGAACATCAATGATGTTCTCCGGGACATGTTAAATCAGTTCGTGTTTGTCTACCTAGACGACATTTTGATTTTCGCGAGATCCTGGCAAGATCATATCAAGCACGTTCAAAGAGTCCTCCGTCGTCTTCTAGAGAACCATCTGTACATCAAGCCTGAAAAATGTGAGTTCCATGTGTCTGAGGTGCAGTTCTTAGGATTCATCGTTTCCCCAGGTAACAAAGATGGACCCTAGAAAAGTCCAGGCAGTTACCAACTGGCCTACTCCCAACAGTGTAAGGGAGGTCCAACGGTTCTTGGGATTTGCGAATTTCTATCGCAAGTTCGTGCGAAACTTCAGTACAGTAGCTGCTCCCCTCTCAGCCATCACCAAGGGAAAAACTCTAAGTTCCAGTGGAGTCCTGAGGCAGAGGGAGCTTTCCAAGAACTCAAGTCTTGCTTCACTTCTGCTCCTATTCTAACTATCCCTGATCCTGAAAGTCATTTCTGGTTGAGGTGGATGCCTCAGATATGGGGGTGGGAGCCATTCTCTCGCAACAAGGAGCAGACAACAAGCTTCATCCTTGTGCCTTCCTGTCACATCGTTTGACACCTACAGAGAGAAATTATGATGTGGGGGATAGAGAGCTGTTGGCTGTTAAGCTTGCTTTAGAGGAATGGAGGCACTGGCTTGAGGGAGCTAAACACCAATTCTTGGTCCTCACAGATCACAAGAATTTAGAGTATATCCAGCAAGCTAAATGCCTCAATCCACGCCAGGCCCAATGGTCTCTGTTTTTTAACCGATTCCAGTTCACTTTGTCATATCGACTGGGTTCCAGAAATTTTAAACCTGATGCCCTGTCTTGAGTTTACTCGCCCACTAGTCATGAGGAGCCGGTAGGCCCCATTATGCCTGGCTCTAAAGTGGTGGCTCCAGTTAAATGGGAAATTGAGGCAACTGTAAGGAGGGCCCAAGCTCAAGAACCAGACCCTGGAGTGGGGCCAGCTAACTGCCTATTTGTCCCAAGCACTGTCCGATCCCAAGTGCTCCAATGGGGTCACAGCTCTCACCTCACTTGCCATCCTGGGGCAGCTCGGACCCTTGACTTCCTGCGAAGAAAATTTTGGTGGTCTACCATTAAGGAAGATATTCAGGCATTTGGGGCTGCTTGCCCAATGTGCAATCAGGGGAAGACCCCTCATCAGTTACCTCAAGGTTTGCTCCATCCTCTTCCGATCCCCAAACGACCCTGTCTCACCTCTCTATGGACTTCATCACTGGGCTCCCACCATCCAATGGTTACACCACCATTCTGGTAATTGTTGACTGATTCTCCAAAGCATGCCGATTTATCCCATTACCCAAGTTACCTTCGGCCAAGGAAACTGCAGAAATTGTCATCAAACATGTATTCCGAATCTTCGGTATGCCTCACGACATTGTTACTGACGGAGGACCACAGCTTTCATCCCGCTTCTGGCATGCTTTCTGTCGACTTCTGGGGACTACAGTGAGTCTGTCTTCTGGCTTCCACCCTGAGTCTAATGGACAAACTGAAAGGCTAAACCAGGACCTGGAAACTACACTGAGGTGCATGACCACCAATAACCCTACCTCCTGGGCATCTTTTCTTATTTGGGCAGAGTATGCCCATAACACGCTGCGTTCCTCAGCCACTGGCATGTCTCCTTTTGAGTGGCAGTTTGGATTTACACCACCATTGTTCCCTGATCAAGAGGCAGAAGTCAGGGTTCCTTCAGCACTACACTTTGTAAGACGTTGCCGCCTGACCTGGAGAAAGGCCAGACTCAAATTTCTCCAGACCTCTGTGCAGTATCAGCGGCAGGCTAGCCGTCATCGGCGATCTGCACCTACCTTACGTCCGGGCCAACGGTTGTGGCTCTCCCCTAAGAACCTGCCGCTGTGTGTGGAGTCCCGCAAGCTGACTCAATGGTTCATCGGACCTTTCCTCATTGCAAGGAGAGTAAACTCAGTTTCCTACCGTTTATTTTTACCTAGGTCTCTAAGAATAAATCCCACCTTCCATGTGTCTTTACTTAAGCCTGTTGTGTCTTCTCCTTTTACTCCCGCAGTCAGACCTCCCCCTCCTCCTCGAATCATTGGTGGCCAGCCTGCCTACACAGTCCATCGGATACTGGGCTCTCGTCGAGTACGAGGATCTCCTCAGTACCTGGTGGACTGGGAGGGCTATGGCCCTGAGGAACGCTCCTGGGTTCCTGCACGGGACATCCTGGACCCTCTTAAGTGTTTTTGTTTGTTCCTGTTTTTGTGTCTGTAATTATTTCACCTGTGCCTGGGTTCCTGTGTGTATTTGTTGCCCTTTTCCTCAGTTCTTTGCTCAGAGTTTCACTAGCTATGACCAAGCCCTAGTCACATTCTGATTATTCTGTTTTGGATATATCTTCAAGCTGCCTGTTTTGGGGTATGGTATCTTGTTTTGTTTTTTGCCAACTTAACCTTCTGGAATTACTCTGTTTTTAAGAATCTTGAGACTTTTGTATTTTTTGTTTGTTATCCAGTTTTGACCTTGCTTTGACTATTTGGATTTTTGGACACTTGAGATTTTTGTTCATTTGGTATTTTGTGTTTTTTGTGCTACCCATTAAACCTGCTTGATTTACTTTTGGATTTTTTGGACATTCTCCTTTGGCTCTATCTGCCATTTTGAAGATCACCTTTTTTAAAATAAAGCTTCCGACATTTTACCCTGAACTGTGCTCGGGGTTTCTACATTTGGGTCCACAACTGTGCTAGTGCTCCCCCTAGCCCCCGAGCCCGTGTGGCGCAAGGGTGGAGCATCAGTCTCCTACCCCAGAGACCTGAGTTCAAGACAAAAGCATTATGACCTAATTTCCCATTCCTGACAAAAGCATTATGACCTAATTTCTCCCTCCACTGATTATACTGCAAATAAACTATTTTCCATCAGGCTGTGACAGGCTCCAGATGTTTAAAGCAAAGCTCTGTACAGTGAAAAACAGTACACCTAACAGTAGAATCTAACAGATGGCTTCTACCAAGCATGCAAGATATTAACATGTGCAGAAAACCACTGTTTCAAAAATGTTTATATTTAAGGCATCATGAAATAGTACTTGACACTACTGTTAATATCATGGCATAAGATTACTGCACAGACAAGACAACAGGTACAAGGTCAAGACTGAATGGCACGAAGGCATATTTCCATTGAAACCCCTTCTGTGCTGTTTTTCATCATGCTTCACAGAACAGATACACTTTCATTTATATTCACACCAGCTCTGTGAGACGTGATTTATTCACATAAATATGACACTCCCTTGATTCTGCTGTGTGTAGTGTCTTATTCCTTTTTTACTTGTGCATAGGAGTGAATCAAAATTTCAGAAATTCATTCAGAGATCACACAGGGGTTGGATGCAGCTACAGGTTTATTAAAAGAAAGGAAGCACTCTTTTCACTCTTTTCTTCTTTGACAAAAAGCTTGTTCTCCAGTTGTCTATGCAGGACCTTCCTAACACAGTGGACATTAGTCTCGAGAGAGGGGAAATAAATAAAGATGCTGTCAATTTATTCAGTGACAAACTTTCCTAGCATGTTCCTGAGGATGTTGTTTATAAATGCTTGGAAGATGGAGGGGGTTGACCAATCCATATTGTATTACGCAACATTCATAGTGGTCAGAGCTGGTGCTATACATGGTTTTCCAAACATCCCGCTCCCAAGTGTGGTTGTAGGTGCCCCAGAGATCAAGCGTGGAAGGTATTGCCATTTCTTAGCTGCAATGCAATTTGCAATTTAAGAACAGCATCCATATAGGTAAGCATTGCATAAAACAAGGAACCATTTACAGCATTTGCTAGACACCCTTACCTCGAGCAACTTACAGAAGTGAAAGGACATTATATTTATCTCATTTATACAACTCAGCAGTTTCAGTTGTATAAATGAGGGTTAAGGGTTTCGTTCAAGAGCCCAGCAGCAGCAGCTTGGCACTGCTGGGATTTGAACTCACAACCTTCCAAGCACTAGTCTGATGCCTTCACTACTGAGCTACCACGAAGAACCACTGTTTGCCCTTATTTGCTGTGACTAATTACCATAGATGTTATATCACATGACCCTTACACATGCATGCATGCATTACCGAAAAACAAAGGGAGAAGCAATGATGAAAAAGCTAATCTGTGACAGAAGTGGGTAGCATACCAGCTACCAACCCGGGGAGGGTAAAGACTAAAATGTGCTTCCTCCGAGACACATGAAGCCAGCCAATCACATCTTTTTGAACTGCAGTTCATGCAGCATCACTCAGAGGAAAATGCTACCTGCCATCTTTGGCTCCCTAGACCCCCGGCCATGGATGGCTGTGGCATCACACTCATGATCTCCCGATGACAGGACAAATGCTTTTCTGTTGCACCATTCAGGACCCCCCAGATTGAACAAATTTATTATAAACAAATGTTTAATACTATGTACTGAATATCATATTCCTGATTACTAAACAAACGACAAAATATTAAATGAATGAGGTGATTGAGTCATGGCTATGTGCGCCATCTCAATCGAAACTGGTCAATGATGCATTATGCATGCAACACATTTATCAAGACCAATTTTCATGCACAAGCAGTTTATGAGTTCCTAATAGCAAAGGAACAGAAACATTGCTGTGACTAATTATTTAACCAGCAACTAATCTTGCTTGTGGTTTCCTTTTAACTTTGGCAGGACACATTCTATCCTTAGCACCCTAAAATGATAAAAGTTTTTTATGAAATAGCCAATATTTTTGCTCAGGATGTAGGCTATTGTAATACAAACATGCCAGTAAACCAGTAATTCATAATGCTAACAAGCAGTCATTTCCAAACAGCTGCTATGAAAATGTAGTTATCACGATCTGCTACAGTAGTGTAACAATTTAATAAATACATATATTATTCTATACAATATTGGTCAAAGAAGTGTGAAGTTAATTCCTAGCTAAAAAAAATAAATCATGATTTATATTTAATCAAAACTGTACAGCCATACTTTATTTGGACATTTTGCTGATTCTATTAATTGTATGGTGTTCTGTGTAATAACGCATCAACTGTCTCACAATTCACAACTTTTTGTTCTTATTTATTACAAATTAATTAATGTAGTCAGTTGTTTTTGGTTAGTAGCTGTAGAGAATGGAACAGACATTTTAAGTTTGTGCTTTATTCAGTATTGGATCCTGACCCTGTAAGTCAGGAAATACTATTTTGTTTGTACTAAAAGGGAGTCATGGTAACACAAGCACATTTTGTACCAAATTGAATTTGAAAATACCACTGTACCATGGATTCTAAATGTTACACCTCTTGCTGTACAGCTCCATGTTCATTTCTGCCTGAGAAAAAAATGGCTACCAGGTGCAAACAGAAAAAAATACCTTACAACCCACCAAACTGGAATATGCCAGAATTATTCCAGCAAAATATTTATGTAAGCATGAAAGCAAAGCTCATATATTATCAGTACAAGACTTACTTGTAAATGCTGAGATTGGAGTTTGTGCCCCTGCAGTTTGGTTATCTGCAGCAACTGCAGTAACAGTGAATGTGTAGTTCACTCCAGCAGTCAGTCCAGTGACATTGTAAGACGTTTTTGAAGTGTTCGTGCTCTTATTCACACTGCCATCAGTCCATTTTACCAGAAAGAAGGACCTGTTCCCATGTGGCTCAATCCAGGTTAGAGACATGGATGATGTGGTTTTGATAGACACAGTGAGACTGGTGACAACATCGGGATCTGTAAATTGTGAATCACACACACACACACACACACACCAATGTTTGTTTTAATTTCCAGAAAATAACTGTGAATGAAAGAATATGCATTTTTTACAGAAAGTCAAAGAAGTTACTTTCTGCCCAGAATAAAATGATTTGTGCCCAACTGTAAATACAAAACTGAGCACAAGTTTAAGGCTGAGAAACAGAGAGTTCTTAAACATTCTTAAAAAAAAAAAAAAACGTTTACAGCTGATTACTTCTGCCAGACACAATGAGGTCTCACTACTAATAAGACTCATGAGACTCATCACTTACTGTATAAAATTAGGAACTTTGATGAATAGGTTGTGGACTTTACCAGTGTAATCCCACTATGATTGATAGCCACAATTCATTGGAATAAAAGCATTTAATGTCCTACTGTCTTAGAAGAGACACATTTAAGTTGCTTGAGGCATGAGTTAAGCACATTTAAGTTGCGTGTCGTACGAAGTGATACATTTAGGGTCATATAAAGAGTGTATACACATTTAACAAGAACATTTAAAAATGGTTTACGCCCAACTAAAGTAGTAATAGGCTGGTGCTACTCAGAAAAATAGATTTTCATCAGTATGAAAATAAAATTAATTACATGAAGTACAGGACTTACTTGTGAATGTTGAGATTGGAGTTTGTGCTCCTGTAGTTTGTCCATCTGCAGCAACTGCAGTAACAGTGAATGTGTAGTTCACTCCAGCAGTCAGTCCAGTGACAGTGTATGACGTGTTTGAAGTGTTCGTGCTGTTATTCACACTGCCATCAGTCCATTTTACTGTAAAGTAGGACCTGTTCCCATTTGGCTCATTCCAGGTTAGAGACACAGCTGATGTGGTTTTTTTAGAGACAGTGAGACTGGTGACAGCATCAGGCTCTGAAAATCATACACACACACACACACACACACACACACAACCCCACAAATGTGTTAAATATTGACATCTATATATTTTAATATCTTAAACATTGTTTCAAAAATGTGTCTAAATCCAGGTGTATACAATTCTGAATTATAGAAACTCAGGTTGATAATTACTGAAACATTACTAAGGACCACAAATACAGAGATAAAGAAAGATATAATTATAGAGAGAAAATGTACAATTCATTTTGAACAGTACTGTTTTGATTAGGTTCAAGTGTTCAGTCAGTACAATCTAATCTAAAATTTAATCTAATCACTCTAATATATATTGCTGTCTTTATCAGCAATACAGAATTTACTTGTGAATGCTGAGATTGGAGTTGGTGCTCCTGTAGTTTGTCCATCTGCAGCAACTGCAGTAACAGTGAGTGTGTAGTTCACTCCAGCAGTCAGACCAGTGAAGGTGTAAGACGTGTCTGAAGTGTTCTTGCTGTTATTCACACTGCCATCAGTCCATTTTACTGTAAAGTGGGATCTGTTCCCATGTGGCTCATTCCAGGTTAGAGACACAGATGATATGGTTTTGTCAGAGACACTGAGACTGGTGACAGCATTTGGCTCTACAAATCATAGACACACACACACACACACACACACACACACACACACACACACAAATGTTAACAAAACAACATAAACATTGTTTCAGGAAATGCATCTAAATCTAGGTGCATACAATTATGAATTATTAAAACTCTGGGTGATGATTACTAATACTAAATGTATTACTCTTTTTGCACAGTAGTGTATTTTGAGCAGGTTAAGGTGTTCGGTCAGTCCAATATAATCTAAAATTCAATCTATTCATTCTATTATATAAGGTTGTCTTTATCAGCAGTAAAGGATTTACTTGTGAATACTGAGATTTGAGTTGGGGCTCCTGTAGTTTGTCCATCTGCAGCAACTGCAGTAACAGTGAATGTGTATTTCACTCCAGCAGTCAGACCAGTGACAGTGTAAGACGTGTCTGAAGTGTTCGCGCTGTTATTCACACTGCCGTCAGTCCATTTTACTGTAAAGTAGGACCTGTTCCCACGTGGCTCATTCCAGGTTAGAGACACAGATGATGTGGTTTTGGTAGAGACAGTGATGTTGATGGCACCATCTGGACCTGTAAGCCACACACATACACACACATACAGATGTGATAATTAGTGACAATAATAATTGTAATATGTTAAACATTGTTTCAAATGGTCACAAATGGCCCGTTCAATTTTGGCAGAAAGAGAAAAAGGGACAAAGTTTTCTCCCTAAAACATTAAATATGCCTACAACAAAATGTCAGATCTCTTTAAAAATAATGTTTATGATGACAGTTAGAAAGTGATTAAATATGCTTTTTTTTTTTTTTGACCAGCACCCTCCTGCCCTCTCCTGCCCAATACTTGGAGCACAATCTACAGTGAAAATGTTAGTCATTTGGATATTAGACAACCAATTAGTAAAAGGATTATGCTCAAATGTACTGTTTTTTATTTTACTGTTTACTGCATACTACTACAGAATCACTTAAAAATCCACCATTCAGATGAGTTTTATCGATGGCCACATTTCCAACTGCACAGCTAATAATATTATGCCCTCCCATACACTCCTTCAACCAGAAATGGAGTGGGAATGCTCGTTAAGGAAAATCATAAGCAGGGAAAAATCAATATTACACAAGCCCAGTGCCAATAATTCTGGAGCTGACTGTATATTCATTTATTTTAAATGCAACATTGTCAGCAGTACAGGACTTACTTGTGAATGCTGAGATTTCAGCTGGTGCTCCTACAGTTTGTAGGGTTTGTGCTGACAAATTTGCTCTTTTTAATTTTCCGAATGGGTTCCAATTATTCTGTATTTACTCTAAATCCATTTATTTTATATGCAAAAAAAGAAAACCACTGAATAATCATTTCTATTATTAAAACAGAATAATAATGTGAAATACAGGACTTACTTGTGAATGCTGAGATTTG